TTTTGGTAATATTTCGATTGCACGTTAGGAGATGATTTTTAACCCGATTTGGGCTAGATTTTTTGCAGAATACTTATTTTATTTCATATTTTCGTTTGGCGTGATTTTTGAAATTTTGCCATTTTTGGTAAAATTCGGATTTCGGCTATAAAGTCCGGCTTGTGGACTTATTTTGATCATTGCGTGATATAATAAAATTCTCTAAACTTCAGAGACGTTTTCTATGTATTTTTTTGGCGTTAATCTTGTGTTCTTTCCTGTAAATTTGCAGATAAAATTAGCCTGCAGAATAATTACTATTCTGCCTGGCGTCACTTTTTGGGTGGGTTAAAAAGATTGATGCAATAAGAATGTGCGCCCATCAATTTTCTTTGTCGTGTAAGGCCATTCAATGTTTCAATTCCATGTATAGTGGGTGCATTAGAGCCTAAATGGGTTGGCCAAAGTTGTTTTCGGTTAGTTCATTTTTAATAGTATTCTCCAATATCCACCACAAACTAAAGTCGTTGAAAAATGATATAAAAGGTTCTAATACTTTTTTATATCTTTTAAAGTCAAAAAGAATAATGCATTGATTTTAATGTGTTTACTTTATCTTTAAAAATTAATGAATGCTGAAATATTAAACTATTCGTATTGATATCTTTATTATTATTATTATTATTTGATCACTTTCTTAAAAAAAAAAACTAGAAATTCACTCAAAAATTAATTTATTGACCAACAACAACCATGGAAATGGGAAGTCAAAGAAAGGAATTTCAGATCCAAGTGCTAAGCATTGATAGAATATTATGACAATAAATTATTTATCCATTTGGAGAAATTTATAAATTGTCAAACTTCATTTTAGCTATATATACGAATGAACACACAATTTCTATCTACTTATTTACAATTCATTTTTATTTATTTATGAATTAAACCATTTATAAATTCTTCCCAATGGCTATTTAATTTTGTTGTCCCTCCATTATGTTAAAGATAAAACCCCACATAGATTAATCGAGATTGACATATTAAACATGAATATACAAGTGTTCTTAAATGAATCATCGCCTTGCATGGACATGTTCAGCGTAAAATTCAACGTTGATTAAATATGAAGATAATAAGACTAATATTATTTGCAAGCACTACTCACAATTATCCGTCGATATAACAATGAGATAAGGAATGTATTTTAATTCATTAAAGATTTGACGGTGGCCCCACTTTCATATTGAAGTATAGAGAGTAGCATTATTCAGATAGTAAACAATAAATAAAAGTTTGAACTATTTTTCTTAACGTGCTTCAATTATTAAAATTGAACACTATAACTCAATACATTCGACTCACTTCTAAAACAATTAAATATATACTTAAGTAATACAAAAATGTCTTCCTCTATTAACATATTATATTGAATTAATAACTCTTTGTAATCGAAACATCTTTGACATTCTCTCAAGACAAGTATGTCAAAATTCATAATTATTAATAATATAAGTTTGAAGGGGATTGAGGGTCAAGTGGGAAATATGATGAGAAGAAGAAGTAAACCATAAGCAAAGAAGAAAAAGGCATAGGCATGCGCCAAAAAACAAAGGATAATGATATGGAGGAACCTACAATGTGGGTAGTAGTTGCGTTCATCGCCATCATATGTACCATTGTTCGTTCTTTTACTTCGTCAATTATATGCTGACCGCGAAGAACACTATGTATCTTTAATACAACAAAAGGAACTTAAGATTTATTATTCATAACAGCTACTTAAATTATAGTTTATCGTGTATTCGATTCATTATTACATTTATATATGCTAGTTTTGGCCTCGACCATCTAAGTTCTAACTCTTTTTCACTTCCAATGAATGAAACTTGAGATGACTATGAAGAATTAAAGCAAGCTGAAAGATAAATAAATCAAAATTAAGCACGCACATATTTACTTTCTTTTTTCCTCTCCGTCTTATGCATAGATTTATAAAAGTATATACTTGTCTTCTCCATCTTATAAGTAGACTTATTAGTTCATCCAAATAAGTATTCTAAATTAAAATAATTGGTTCTTGTAAACTTAGAGTTGTATTAATTTTTCTCTATTTTGCATGTTATTTGGTAGGATGCATGGACTTTCAATGAAAAGTACATAACTAGGGTTTCATTTAGAAAGGTATTCAGTCTGAACAAACGTCTCATCAGTCGTAATAAACCTTGAGAGATGCTACTTGTCCAGGGATTTTTTTTTTTTTTTATAAGAAACTTTCATTACAACAATCAAACGGATTAACCGATTACAGACAAACAAGCTCAAAGGCCTGATCGACAGAGTCTGAAATACAATCCAAAATACAATGAAGTTACAGTTGTGACTTAAACATACAGGTAAACCCGACAATAAGTCAACTAACGCAATCAGCACTAAAGTACCCCCGCACAAGGACGGGCATTGTCTAAACTTTTGACCCCTCTCAAAAGAGAGAGAGCCAGCAAAATTCGAGAGCCAGACACCACATGACAACAGAAAACAACACAAGACACAGAACAAACAGACTAAAAAGCACCACCCATCGATCCAAACTAGGCACAAAATCAGCAACAGTCCCAAAGAGAGGAAACCCTCCTGCAAAATGTCGTCTCTCAGCCTCGCCTTACTGCAGCCAACCTTCACCAACCGACACTCCAACCAACATCAACCACCTCTGCCACCGAAAAAACGCAGCCCACCCATGCCACCGGAGCTCAGCCAGCTTGGACCAACCACAGCAAACCCGAAACCTCCAGTAGCTCCAGCTTGCCAAATGCATAGATTTATAAAAGTATATATTTGTCTTCTCCATCTTATAAGTAGACTTATTAGTTCATCCAAATAAGTATTCTAAATTAAAATAATTGGTTCTTGTAAACTTAGAGTTGTATTAATTTTTCTCTATTTAGCATGTTATTTGGTAGAATGCATGGACTTTCAATGAAAAGTACATAACTAGGGTTTCATTTAGAAAGGTATTCAGTCGGAACAAACGTCTCATCAGTCGTAATAAACCTTGAGAGATGCTACTTGTCCAGGGATTAAATCCCGGGTCAAACCAGCAAAATTCATAAACCTTTGTTGTCCGGTATTTTGAAATCAACAAGTCCATGACACCAAGCCCTTTTCTTAATTACTCCAATAATACGGTCAATCCCGAATGTTTGGGACGGTTCTTTTCCTATTAGGCCTACATTGAGGTAACTGCAGCAGCGAGTCTCCTCCCAGCCCATTTCAGTTTTTTTGTGGGTAATTTTTTTTTTTTTTTTAATACAAGTAAAAAAAAAAAAAATTGTATTTATTTTTTTATATATTATCCCAACTTAGAAATTTTTTTTAGTCACATCCTGAATCCTAAATCCGCCCTGGAGGCAAGTGTCTCCATGATATAAATTTTCTTTAATTTATTGCACTCTCCCCTTGATGGGCCTAGTTTCCTTAGTTTGCGGAGAGAGGGAAGAAATGTTAGCTATTTTAGTGGACTTGTTGGGTCAGATTGTTACAAGATTAAAGATTTTGGCCATTCATTACAAATAGGGTTTATCAAGTATGTATCCAATTTTGTGATTGGATTCGGAAAAATAGTTGGGGATGTTGTACTTAAAAAAGCAAATGAGAAATACAAAATTCAGAAAAATACTGGCAATTTAATTATTGCACAATTTATGGGTTGCTAGCTACTCTAGAAATTTACCTGAGATCTCTCCAACGAAATTATGAATCCTAATCAATCGTCAATTTGTTGTCACCATATTCAGATCCAACTAGATTTCGTTCCATCCCTAATTTTCGAAGGGGAAGAAAGGTACTTCGTTAAGGCGAGCAGGTTCCTGCCTGAAAATGAATAGAGAGTCTCGTAGATCCGGCACTTGCAAGATGGATCAAAGGATGAAGTCGAGAAGTCAAGCTAAGATTCCACAACGGAGATGAAGACCAATGAAGAGTCTAATAATGTGTGCTTAGAGAAGAGATAAAGCTCTTAATTGATTTGACTTGAGAGAGTTCGAAATTTTATTTGTATTGTTAACTAGAAATATAGTAGGGTTTTTCGGTTAATGATTATTCAAAAACAATTTCATTGCCACCACAATTTGTTTTAGTTGCACCACTTTTTAATGAAAAGCGCTTATTCTTTACATATTATCCTTTTTCATAATTTTATTCTCAATCTTTTATAATTAAACACATATCCGTCCAAAATTCAATTAGAAAGATGTAAAAAAATTTATTTGCCCTATCGTAATTTTAAAATAGCCAAAAAATGACATATAAGAAAGCATGACATTATATTTGCCCCTCATTTCAAAGCAGGCTAACTTAATATTTGGACATAAGCTATCACTAGGGATTGTCCGTGATATTAATAGAAGACTGATCGATGATTAGAATTCCACCAAAAAAAGGTGGGACATAAGTGTGTGACAATAAATAATCGATAACAATAAGTTATTAATTTATTGATTAAGTCAAAAGTTATTAAGGTATTCTTTATTTTCTTAAATACAGTACATTGATCTAGTTTAATGTTTTACGAACTAATAATTTGCTGTGTTTATTAAACCAAGCAAAATTCATGAATATACTTATTTGTTTTTCAAGAATATATTGTGCATTGTCTATTGTACTACATTATTTAATTTTATGAACATTAACCAAGTAAAAAATTTATTTATATAATTTAGTTTGTTATAGTATGAGAAAATCACACCAGAAGTTCTTACCCTGTTAAGAAAAGTTAGAAATGATATCCAAACACCAATATTTTTAAAAAGAAACAAACAATGAGAGTCAAATAGCGAGTATGAACCCTTTGAGGCTGCCATGAGAGTCGACTTTAATGTGAACAAGATCTCAATCCCAGTGTCGGAATCACGCACGCTGCGAAGTTTAGTAAGAATATTTCTCCCAAATTTTAAATCAGCAAATGCGGCACCACAAACACCAATAACTCATTGTTCCATATATATATAGCAAGTTGTGTATTTTGAACTTATTTGTCGCGTAATACTATATAAGACTAAACCTTATAGTATTTTATTAATGATTCTTAAACTCTCAATTTGAAATTTAAGATCTTACGATTTCAAAAATGACAAAACGATCCGACCGATTCTAAAAAATAAATAAATAAATTGTTATCATATGTTCTGTGTCACATTTTCTTGAAATCTGTGGTGACATTCATGTATCATATGTTCTGTGTCACTTCTAAGATTGCTCAATTGCATTTGGCTTTTAATCTACATTCATTCTGTTTTAATCGCTTAAACTATTTTGCAAGAAATTTGCGCGTTCCAACATGGTGATGGTAATGATTTTCCTAGATTCTGCAGTAAACCAATATGTTTAGGATTGTCAAATAACAGGGGACGTTGACTGACTCAATATTCATCAAAAGTCAACTCGTTTTTGATCAATTATTAGTACAAATTATGAGCAGTTAAATTTTGACTTGATCAACGAGTTGACTTGACGAATTCTACTATTAAAGTCGCTATAGAAAAGAATATTGTGGGCCAATTACAAAATTTCGTTGTTTTCATGTTCTTATAAGCTTCCAATAATCTCATATTTCACTCATAAAAGTTTCAATTTACTCCTTAAACCTTCCAACTTTTTTAGTTGAAACGTATCTTTTAAAAACTAATAACTGTTACGCAACGAATTTATTTATTTATTTGAGTTTTATCTTTAACACGTCACTTCATATGTAGATTCGTTCTTTTCTATTAAAGTTTGAAACGTTAATTCCCATTAATAGGTGAGGTCAGACTTGTGGCTCTCGTGATGTGTCGAATTGCCTGAAAAATGTAACTATTAGAAATAAGACATTTAATTATTTAAATCCATAGCCTTCCGTATGTAGGCACGCTCTTTTCTATGAAAGTTTGAAACATCTAGAATGATCATTAATAGGTGAGGTCGAGACTTGATTCTTTGTAGCTCTCATGACACTTTCGAATCGCCTTAAAAAAACTTAATCACTAAAGATAAGACAATTTTATTTATGAATTTAAATTTAATCTTATACAATTTCAGCCATCCAAAATTGAGAATTCCATTAATTCCTAAAAGAAAATTGTAGATATCAAAAGTTAACTTTAGGGATGGTAAATACAAAATAAATTCTAAAATAAAAAGATATGATCGAGGGTGGGTTCGAAGTGGGGACCATATTCCGTGTCCCTATCCTCGCCCCGATTACTCGAAGAGGCATGAAATCCCACCTCATTTGAGACATTGTAAATTTGAATATTTGTCATCTCTAATTAACATTAATGTAAGGATTACTTTTTGTCAAAATGTACGTGTGTGCTTGAATTATTACATTGAGAAATACGTTGACAATACGAAAAAAAAAGTCCTTTTCAATTTAGAAATCTTGAAACAAATATTAGTCAATCATAGAAAGTCACTAAAACAAACAAAAAGCAAGATTACAAGGAAAATCACATGGTATCAAGTCACTTACATTCTGGCATTGACATTAACAGGATTTTAAACGAAGTCTTCGACCCAAAATCAACCACCATACAACTTGTACAATATAATTATAAACGAAGCCCTAAACTTCATTTCTACATTTCAACATGGCTTCTTCTCTCTTCTTACTAGTTCTAACTGTTTGCATTTTCTCAGTGTCTGCTGATGGTAATTAATCTTAATTCTACCTTAACTTCTATTATTGTTTTTAATGATCTTAATGAAAGACAATACAAATTTTCCTTTTATTTTATTTTTTTGCAGTTTTTGTTAGCATAGATTGTGGTTCAACAGACGCATATACCGACGAGAATTTGATACCATGGACTGGAGATGATTTATACATCAACAATAGTGAAAACCAGGTGGTACAAGCTGCTAACTCAATATCTCGAGTCATGGACACCCTAAGAGTTTTCAATAGTCGAAAGAAAAATTGTTACTTGATTGAAAGTGTTAGGAGTGAGCGTGTTCTTGTACGCGCTAGCTTTTATTATGGAAATTATGACAAGAAATCTTCTCCACCTACGTTCGATCTTCAATTTGATGGGAACTATTGGCTGACAGTTGAGACTTCGTCTACTGATTATGTTTCTTATGAGGCCATATACGTTGCGAAGAAGAATTATATAAGCGTATGTGTAGCGCAAACTAAGCCTAATCAGTTTCCATTTATATCGGCTCTTGAAGTTCGTGGATTGGAGTCATATATGTATAGCCATATTGATAATAATTAACCTTTGTTCTTGGTTAAAAGGATTGCTTATGGTGCAAATGCAACTGTCAGGTATGGTTTTATGGTCCTAACTCTTTAATATATGATTACTGAATTTTCCTTGATCCCATCGAATTTATGTTTTGAACGTTAATGGGATGTTTGGTAGTGAAGATTGGATAACAATTTATTGATAGTTTCTTCATACTTAGATTTTAAATCTGATCAATATGCAGTATTGGGCTGAACACCTTAAACCATCTCAACCAAAATCTTAAACCTAATTTTAGACGAAGTGGTTTAACGTCGTATGATAGTGAACTCCAATTCTCGTTTCATACGTACGGGAGAGTGTTGAAGAAAAAATGGAGTTTGTCCAATTTCTAAGGGCTTAAACTTTTAAAGTAGGTCATTTAATAGAATTAGAATCTGAAAATTAATTCGTGCTATTGGCGTGAAATCCAGGTATATAGACGATCTTTATGACAGAATATGGACTCCTGCAACAGCCGGCAAAGGATTAACTGAAGTAAAAAGTGATGCATTCTTTAGCGCACCAGGAATAGCAGATAACCCTCCACCTGCCGTGCTGCTAAATGCAGTTACTGCAACCGATCCCTCTTCAGGTATCCTATTGAATATGGGATTTCCTCGAGTTGAAGTTCCTGTCTACTTAAACTGGTATTTTTCCGAGGTTACTCAGTTGGAAGCAAATGAAACGCGTTCTTTTATGCTTTACAAGGACGGCCAACCTTTATCCCAGGCGATTTTACCTCCTTATGGAAATTTTACGGAGTGGTATGCTAGAAACTATACAGTTTCTTCAAATACTACCTTTTCTCTCGTGCCTACTGAGAACTCGACCCTTCCCCCACTCATCAACGCCATGGAAGTCTTTCTAATTGGAGACGCTCTAACAGATGGAACCAACAGCAAAGATGGTAGGTACTAAAGTTTTAAATTTTAGAGAAGGTGACCTATTTGTGGCTTTGAAGACGTCCAACGTATACTCAGAACGAAATTTCCCTCTAAATGAGAATACTGAGGATGTCCAGTCTCACCACAAGATAGTCCATGACTATCTCAGCAAGATTTTCGAATTATGCATATATGTCTTGTTAAAGAGTCAAGAAATTTATTTATTTATATCTTCAAAGAAAAAGACGTGCTCTTACTCTGAATTCCATTGTTTTTCCAATTTAGTCAAGGGGTTAGTTTCACTACAAAATGCTTTCGAAGACTTACAAGACTGGAGTGGAGATCCATGTCTTCCAGCGCCTTATACATGGGACTGGATCAATTGCAGCAATGATGCTACACCACGAGTGACAGCACTGTAAATGTCCTTGATTTTCATTATTTTAAATTATTGAACTTCTTAGTACCTCCTCCAAAAGTTTAAGCTTTAGATGAGGTGGCTCATTGTCATAGCTCTTTGCTCATTCATTTGGAATAATTGACAGGTATCTTGGTAGCTTCAATCTCTCAGGGCCAATTCCAGATTTCGGTTCAATGGATGCCATTGAAATAATGTGAGGTTTATTTGCTTATCTAATGATTGCCTCAACCTATAAGTACACATGATTTTTCGAAAAATTCTGTTTTCTCACGATTTCTACAATTTACAGAGATCTTCACAATAATAGTTTGTATGGAACTATTCCAGATTTTCTTGGCACATTCCCATACCTTAAAGAACTGTAAGTACATAGAAAACACTGTTATGACTAGTCGAGTACTGGATATCAAACATACAATAAAATCTTGGAGTGCTTTTTATGTCCCTTGATGGGTAGAAAATTATCTCTTCTTTGTTTCAGGAATCTTGCAGATAACCAGTTTACTGGTTTTATACCAGCTTCACTGTCAAGGAAAAATGACCTGAAATTAGGGTAAGAAAAATGATACTTGACTGTTCTCTAGTCTGTTCGATTTCCTATGGTAATTTTATTTACTTTATGCTTTATATATTTCAGGGTAACAGGCAATCCTGATCTATGCACATCAGGCAAATCGTGCCAGTTGACTGATGATCCAACAGTGTATTCTTCCGGCAGTAAGAAGAAGAAGAAGAAGAAGTTACCAGTAATTCTTGGTACAACAATCCCAATATTTGTAGTAATCTGGGCTATTGTGGGTATTTATATCATATTACAGAATAGGAGGAAAACTGCTGCCATAGCCGTACTCAATGCAGGTAGATATTGAACTAACTTAAAGTTAAACCACTCCATCTAAAATCTGATACAGAGGAGATATATTTATTTATTTATTTAATTTAATCTTCAACATGGCTCCTCCTCACACGTGCACAATTTAAACCACTACATCTAAAAGCTGTCGCAGAGGAGATTTATTTATTTATTTTATTTGATCTTCAACATGGGCCTCCTCCTCACACGTGCACAATTTTTCATAAATGGGTAGTGATGATACTTGTTTACATAATTTATCTAGTCCCGAACATTTAAGAGTGCAAAACGTAATAAATATTTGATTTAATTTGTCCTTGTTGTTTTGTGTTATAGGACAAAATGGAGGAGCTCAAATGAATGAGATGAAGGTGAACATGGAGGAGCAAGCACGAAATGTGGATCAAACATATAGACAGAAGCATTCAAATGAACATCAAGACAGGGACCTGTATTAATTTATTTGTTCTCACTCTCCATCAAGACAGGGACCTTTATCATATGAACATCAAAAGATCTGATTTGTACCACTTAGGGGTGGAGATACGAAACTAAGATTTGATTTGTAATTGTTGTTTCATGTTGTAGGACAAAATGGAGGAACCCAAATGAATAAGTTGATGGCGAACATGGAGGAGAAAGTTAATGTGGATCGAACAAATGTTAACTTTTATTAGAATTTTGATTTGATACTGTCTAATTAAAATAAGATTATATTTTGTAATGGATTATATCTGTGTTCCTATAAGTAGGAGCCTCTCCGTTTTATTTTCTTTATCTCAGTTTATAAGATGGTTATTGGGATAGACTTAGGGATTCTTTTCTGATATTAATATATTGGACACATCAATTAATTTTATACGCAGTTTGCTTTCACCCATCACGAATTAGAGTACAATAGGTTGAGGTAAATTGTTTGCATTATAAACAAAGTTTGACCCCCCTTTAAATAAATTAATCTTCATGAAACAAAGTCCAAGAACATTGTGAGAATTTGATTGAACAAGAAAATAATATTTCTTGCAATGCACAGTAAACATAGAGCAGACTACATTTAGCTTCATTAAAATTATATAACTCAACCAGAATTCATGGTATTTATATTATTTTGTTCACAAAATTATTAATACAACCTTGATGAGAACCTTTTAAATGAAAAGAGAAAGGGAAAAAAATAATGACAAGCTGAAATCCTCTGTCAAACCACCAAGTTCATCACAAAAATCTTCAATCAGTTTATCATAATTTCACTGAAATAAACTGAGAATAAAAGAGGTACAAAACTCTATGATGATTGAATTCATGATCGAATAGGCTATGAGGTTAAGCCTGCATGTTATGAAAGAGGAGGGTTGATTGAAGATGGTGAATATCAATGCAGAAAGTTTCTTAAGACAGCCTCTACATTTGGTAGAAACGGGAAGGGACTTCTGAAACACTCTAAAACCATCTAGAACCTTGTAGAGCAAGGCATATTCTATAGTGTTTTATGAGAGGGACGTGCATGAGCATTCTAAAATATTAACTTTTAACTGAAAGAGACCATTGTAGAATAGTATATTGTAGTACTTGTGCGGACAACCTTCCTAGAATGTCCTTCCAAAAATCTAGAGACTAGAGCCTTCTTCTCAACGTAAAAACGCGTTAATCCCTACCATCAATTCTAAAGAGATATGAGGTATAAAAGGGGCTAGCCTCAGTTATAGCAGACAAGAGATGAAAATAAGGAGAAATGGACCAAATCAAACTGTGGATGACAAATTGACCAACTATTCACAATGTTCATCAAAATAACATTACAGGTTGTGGAAGATATTTGGCATGATGTAGGTGTGTTATGAGATATACGTCAATAGCTGATGAATTCTATGAAGGGGAGAATGTGCAAAGGATTTAGCCCATAACCATGTCCACCACGATTCATGTTAAAATTTGGAGGAGGTCCCAAAATTGGCCAGGAAACATGTTTTGGTTCCATGAATCATTTTGCATTTGCATTTGACAAGGTCGACAACTAATATGCATCGATCTACACTAAAAAGATAATGACATGCTTACAGTACTTGGCAATGGAGGAAAGGGTTGCGAAACAAAGTGGTACGCAATTTGTGCCACAAGATTTTGAGTCTTCTTTCAGAGTTCGCTTTAATTGAGTAACAAAAATCCAGAAAAATGATTTGGGCCATTTTTTCCCATCAAACACACGTGTAAATCCCAACCAATCCTTTATCATAACTCTTTCAATTTTTGCATTTGTACATTTTCACTCTCAGTCTTAGAAAAATGTAAATTGAAAAGGAAAAAAGACTTTACAAATAAATAAAAATAAAAGCCCTTTAAGAAAAATGACTTGAATTAGAGTAAGTAAAGTAATTTGATTTCTTGAATTACTTTTGCAATATAAAATGAATAATTATAATAAATTAACCAACAAATTTCATTTCTTTTTTTTTTCTACAATTATAATATTTTTAGTCAATTGGGCTATTATGTGTTAAAATAGGATCATGTTTCTACATCCCAAAATAGAATGTGATTTTTTACTTGTAATGGTATTATTGTGAATTCCACATCAAATATAATTCAAAAAGCTCCCCTTTTATGTCCCTATAAATAGGAGCCTGTTTGGTTGAATTTTTGTAGTCTCGTCTGATAGAGTATTATTATTGTGTGGTGTGTTTGGGGTGTATAAGAGATTCTATATCAATGTTTTTCATATAGTGAAATATTTCAATCTTTGAGGGTGTTATTTTAAGTTTTTCACTTAAATTATATTGTTGTTATTTTTACCATATATCTTCATATTTTTTTAAATTTCCAAATAAATTTTCGGAAGATGTTACGGAACAAATTGAAGAATTGGTCTCATTCCCAATACTTATATATTTTCCAAATGCTGCAAACTTGAATAAAATGAAGTCACGTTGGTCTTTTTTTTTTTTTGTAAAGGGAATTATAACCTAGCGTTTGCATGTCAATTAACAAACGCTGTTACTTTCTTTCAACTTTGTTTTCTCTTTATCTGAAACTTTAGGTTTCTTTCAATGGCCTTGATACCGCATAAGAAAAATATCGAATTGGATCGTCCGTATGGTTATGCACTCTGTGAATAGGCAATAATCATTTGAGATTGGTGCCAAATTTTTCGGAAAAAGGTTATTGTTTTAAAAAAAAAAAAAATCAATTTGTGTTATCAGATAAGGTAAAAATGAAGCATGTTTTTATCCATTTTCAATTTAACATGACAAAAAATTTTCTGTCACAACTATAAATGAAATATGTGTATACAGGAAATCCCAATTTGGTGAATTTTAATCATGAAATATTATAATTTTTCATTACATATCTATTGATGAAGAATTTAACCTTGAGGCAGTTCATCAGGCTTTCCAGAGTTGTGTAATTCATTAGTTCCTCTAGTTTCTTGTCGAACAATTTCCACAAGTTCTTCCAAATCCATATCTGGAGCTATAGAGTATGTCTTATCAAGATCATCGTGCATGTTATTTCCTTCGTGTTGTTTGATAATTTCCTCGAGTTCTTCCAAATTCATTTCCCGGAATCGTAGATTGATGAATTGGATTTGCAAAACTAACAGGGTCGTAGTCTTCATCAGAGCTTTGCTCGAAATCTTCTACAAGGTGATGGCTCCATTGGTACACTAGGTTGTGATTGTAGCCTAATGAGTTGTTCCATGCTCGGCCCTATTGAGTCAGTCTCTAAATGCATTTTTGGAGGAATCTCAGGTCCATTCAGGACCTGTAATTCTGTCCTTGGTGTGCTCATTTTATCCGGATTAACCTGTATATGAGAGCCAGAAGTATCAGAATGACAACGAGAAATAATCCCACTGATAATCCAATGATCAAGGCTGTAGTACTTTTATTCTTGCGAGAAGTATCTAAATTGGTATTTCCTTCGATGCTGCAGAGGTCAAATGTTGAGGACACACGTTTATACTTATGTTGACTTGTCTAAAAAAAAGGTAAGAGATCTACTTACTGGAATGTAATTCTTTTGTTGTTGGATATGCTATAGGGAATTTGTCCAGAGAATCATTGAATCCCATGTTGTAATGGAATTTCTAGCCGAGATTGCACAATAACATGTACATATATAGATAAGTAAACGAACATTGAAATTACTCTAGGAGGATCGCTGCTTGTGCAGCCCAACCATTGTCATGCTGTATTTGTGGGAGACATGGTTCCCCACTCCAGCCCTTCAATTGCTCGAGTGTAAGTATGAACACTGCCAGACTGTCAACAGCACGAATTATCCACATATATGCACATTATTCAACATACATTAGTGTCAGTGTATGTATGTGTTTGTGTGTGTGGACGGATGCCACCACGGGGTGAGAAGCAAGGTGTTTTATACTTATAGCATATTTAATGCACAGTATTGGAGAGGGCTCGACAGTTCTAATAAATGAAAAGAAGCTAAAATATTGTTCAGTATTGTCCAACACTATGTACCATATATGCACTTAGTCCTTACAGTCATTCTGCGCTGTTCTAGTCGTGGAAAGTGGATCGCTGGCCGTGTACACTTCTATGGCACTGATAACTGGGGGCAATGTGGAAGTTTCTGTCGGGCTCAGTTCAGAAGTTGCGTATTCTCCACATAAAATCCGAACTCTACCGTCTCTTTCACAATTGATTTCATGATCTTAAACAATTAATCTTATAGCATCGTTTTCTTTCATCCCTCACGAATTAGAGTAAAATAGGTTGAGGTAGATTGTTTGCATGATAAAACGAAGATATTACTAAATTTATCTTCATGAAACTAAGTCCAAGAACGTTGTGGGAATTTGATCAAACAAGAAACCAATATTTCTTACAACAGTCGTTTTTCTATAAGATTAGGGTGTGGAAGTATTAAAGTTGTCGGATACTTTTTAAGCAATGAAAAGAGTGTATAATCTTACGTGTTTCTCTTTCTCACGCAACTCTTTTACATGTCTTTCTTACTAAAACACGACTTTTCACTTATTAGCATATTTATTTATTTCTTCAGAAAAGAATTGTAGCTTTTTGATTCAGAACAATACAACCTTGATGAGAACTTTTCGAAAACAAGTAATGACAAGCGGAGTTCCTCTGTCAAACCACAAAGTTTCATCTCAAAAATAATCAATCAGTTTCTCATCATTTCAGCAAAATAAACTGAGTATAAAAGAGGTACAAAATTCTATCACGATTGGATTCATGATGGAGTGGGCTACGAGGTTAAGCCTCCATGTGATGAAAGAGGAGGGTAGATTGAAGATAGTGAACATCAACGAAGAAGGGGGAAAAAGAAGGCACATTCTTCACAATTGGTAGAAACGGGAAGGGACTTCGAACACTCGAAAATCATGTAGAACCTCGTAGAGCAAGGCAAATTCCATAGCGTATTACAAGAGGGACTTGTATGAGCATTCTGAAGTATCAACTATAACAGAAAGATGCCATTGTAGAATAGTACATGTAGGCAAGTCGTAGTTCTTGTGCAGAAGGGACAACCTTCATAGAAAAAAATCTAGAGAATAGAGCCTTGTTCAAAAGTGTGTCAATCCCTAATATCAATTCTAAAGAGAGATTAGGTATAAAAGGGGGTTCAACGAACCAAGTCTAATTTTGGAAAACAAATTGACCAACCAATCACAGCATTCATCAAAATAACTTTGTAGCTTGTTTTAGAAGACATCGTACTATACATAAACACTGAATACATAAAATAACAAAAGCATGAAGCGCCTTGATTCAATTCATCTATTGCATTCTATACCGGGAAAGAATTGTTTCATTTTGTGAAACATTTTTCGTTGTTCTTCCTGCTTTTATTAATTTGAGGCACGTGAAATATAAACCTAACTAGAGAACATATCCAAACAATTATGTGAAAAGTTCCTTTGATTACATCAGGAGAAATTAGCCCATCGGAAATCGGAATATATTTTTCTATAATTAAAAGAGCATAGCTAAACACTTAGATAAGTATATTGGACTTATTAACTAACTTCTCAATTCATATATATGAAGCGACATCCGATGGAGTAACTTGTAGTCATGACTTTTAAGATAACAAGAAATTAAAGCTCTGCAGGCTTTCAAAATCTCATATTTGTGTACGAGTTCAGGGGAGAGAGTACAAAAACTCTAGGTGTAGGTGATTCTTTTGTCAAAGCTAAAACTGCATCTACCTAGTTAAGATTGTGAGCTAACAAGCACCAAGCTCTTCAGTGCAGGCACCAAATTCTCAAGTAGCTCTCGCTTACTCAAAATTCGATCAGACACACAATCTTCGTCCTGAAAATATTGCAGTCATAAAAGTCAATTTTTCAATTAATCCACGTGGATGTAGATGACATAGTCTAAGAAAGAGAAGTTAAAACTTACATTGCCAGTTGTTGCAGACATTAGAGCTAGAAGAGTCACAGTAGCAGTTTGGTAATCTGTCAAGGTCTTAAATGCTGCATCATCAAGTTTACCCTAAAAATTGATGCAATGTAAGAACCAAATTAAAACCAATCATGTACATTAACTTATTCCAAGACAAAGATTCTATTTGAGCGCTATTTTTCTTAAGAATGCATTTTGGAATTGTAAATTGATGGAGAATGTGTGATTGAAAAATAAGGAAAAGTTTTGGCCTTGCATGTAATATTATTTTATTGAAGAATGTGTGGTTGAAAGAAGATTGAGAAAAATGTGTTTTGTAACTAATGGAGATTAAACAACGGCAAAATTTGCATAACTCAAAATTTAGCTAGTCGATTTTCTCTCCCTTAAGCTAAGGCACGTCTTTAAAAAAAAAAAAAAAAACTTATAGACACAGACACGTAACTAAATAGCCACGAAGACGCTTTAAGATTACACTAAAAAACGAATGGCATCAAGATGGTCTATAACTTTTTATGTTGGTGGTGGATTGCCTTCATTATTAACTTGTTGGGTTCCAAAGCAAGTCAAATATAACAGGTGTTCTAAAACGAATAATGCGTGACGATGCATAGAGGCTAAGCTATGGGCGAGGCATATGCATAAAAATGCGTTTTCTTATTTTAATTTTTAATCAATCAAAAAATTATTTAGAGCATATTTGGGAGTAATTAAAATCCAATTAAAATTGAAAATATAGCCGTTATTAGTTCTCACTCGTCTAATAAAAGTCAACAATAATGGCTAATTTTTCAATTTTAATCCGATTTTAATCTCTACCGAACACGCTCTTAATAATTAAAAATAATGCATATCAAATATCTAAAACAGATTTATAGAAACTTTATACATTTTTTCAAAAGTTTCCAACAAAAAGATAAGTTTCAAATGTAAATCAACATTAAAGTTTTAACTTAAAAGAATTGTAAAAAAATATATATAATAACGAGCGCCTAGGCGCCCATAATCACGCCTAGGCATGCATAATGCAGTCAACGGTTGACCGCTAAATAAGGCACCAAGCCACTTGGTTTGGCATTTTCACTGCGCATCGCGCCTAGACGACGTTTAGGCACGCTTTTTAAAACACTGAGGCCCCGTTCGGGAGGGATTAAAAGCCAATTAAAATTGAAAATATGGCCGTTATTGGGTCCCACTCGTCTAATAAAAGTCAACAATAACGGCTATATTTTCAATTTTAATCCGATTTTAATCCCTCCCATACAAGGCCTGAATATAACAATTCCAGCGAACTTTAACATTGTGGCTTTCCAAAGAAAGGCAGAACAAAAAAACAATAGCCTTTTTAACTTCTATGCAATTACTAATAGCTAGTTTTTTATATGATAACCATTGTCATTATACTGATCAATTAATAATTAATTATTATATGTATTCCAATATAACATTTTATTAATTTCAATTTTATTGTTATACTACAATGTTATTAAATATTTAACTTACGTATTTCTTTACTTTTTAAAAATAAAATAAAAATAAACTATGTTTAATTAGCATACTTGTGTCTCAATTATGGATCATTTTTAGCCGTACCCTGTATCACTTAAGTATAATGATCAAGTATATTAAAATTATAAAGCACCCTTGGTTCTTTTGTAACTTGAAAATATTCTAACCTTCAATCGCGTAACTGCAACTGATATAGCCCTGCCTGGAGCTTGAAGAGCTTTTCCATGCAACTGTAAAAAGAGAAGAAAATCAAAGATTTTAATGCATATCCACAAGTGACAGAAAATTTGAAGACGAGAAAGTAAAACTGACCTGGACATAAAGTAAAGAAACAACTTTTGGCAGAAGTGAAACGGGATCGGTTTCAGCAGAAACTTGAGATGCTAAATCCTAAAAATATCAAAAGAAACGGGATAGCATTATCATTTAGTAGGAGGAAACTATGCTCTCAATTATATATCTACTTGTTTAAAACTAGGCAAAACTTGGTGGATATTATGGAGGTCTTCATGAGAGCTTGAAGTATAATTAAGTAAAATCTCGGGTAAGATAAAACCAAAACGTCTTGTCTGTTCTAAAAGAGCATATGTCCATAGTTCAAGATCAAGTTAGTGATTTAAATCTCCACATTTGGGGACGTCCTACCAGATACGTAATAAATAAAGTAGCCAAGCTGAGATGCTTATAGTAGACTTGCATAAAATATTCTCAAACACATCAAGAACTTATTTAAAAAGATAAAAATTTCTCACACACCCAACACAATTCCTGAGAACCTAGAAATGTAGGTATACCTTGCGATAAGAATGCAGAAGAGTCCTTTCCAACTTCTTATCAAGCTTTTTCAGCATTAACCCACTGTAAATTTTGTGGATATCTTTAGTTGCAGATTTATAACCAATTCAAAAAGGGCGCACTGTAACGATATGACCCCCGACCATGGCCCACTGGAGGGCCCGGTGAACAGTACATAAGCTAACAGTATAGACGGCATCTAGCTAGGACCTCGTCGGTGTGAAAGGGATGGGCCATGGTAGGGGTCGTATCGTTACACGCAAATTAGAAAAAAGATCTTCTCTACCTTTCCTCTACTAGTTCTCTTGTAGCAGTCACAAATGTTTCCACACGCTGTTATTATAACACGAATAACCAAAGTCAAATGAACTCAATAACTGAAATCATATGCAATACTTGGGGATTATATGCACAAGGAATTGAACTGACCTTCCCTTCCAAAGTTTCAACTAGCGCAATGGCCTTGACTGACAAAGATCCTGGCAAACTCTTTGCCTATGACACGAAAACAGAGGTTAGAATTTTATTATGTAAACTAGAACAAAGTGTTGGAGAAAAACATTATTAAGAAGTTACTAGATCCATTCTTTCCCCGGATCTAAGCAATGAACTTTCAGAATATTTAGATTCTTCAAATTCAATTCCATTCTTCAACTTGTTGTGCATGTCCTGCAACCAGAGGACTCAGCTATCAGGTGCAGATCCAATGATCTTTAAGTTGAATGATAATAACTGAAGAATACTAAAAAATTAAACAGTTGTTCACGACATGTTACCAGGTTAACTAAGATAGAATCCACAATTGGTGTGGCTGAGGTTCGCAACAAATGTTTGTGTAAAAGTACCTGTAGATGCAAAGGAAGCTGCTCTGATGCATATGTATCATTTTTGCAATATATCTAAAATTAGAATGGAACAAAAAAGAACATACTGAAGTTGACTGGTCATCTTCAAACAAATCCAATGCCTTCTCATATAGTTGAATATTTAAGAATGTCTGAGACAGTGAAAAAAAAATGAAATATCAATTAGAATACCATTCCACATATAATATACTCGAGATATAAATTGTCGTCAGTAGAAAATCCATCATTACATAACCAGGAAAGAAGAAACGTGGAGACAACTACAAGGAAACCTATTAATATAGAACCTATATGTTTTAGCATATATAATCCAGATTGTATGACGTGTTAATATAACTTTCATTAAACTAAAAAGAAAGACAACAAGGTGAGATATTGGTGATTACCTCATCAAGCTTTTGCTGCAAATCATCAACTAGGCGTTTCATTTTTTGGGCATTTTCTGTAAAAGCAGTCTTTCTTTTATCCCTCCATGAATTTATAAGCATGGGTCTCAAATGATTTGCCAAAGCTGCAAGGACTGTCTCAGGATCATCTATGCCTGTGTATACAAGTGTCTGTCAAAATCACATAAATAGCATGTTCGACTGAGCTTAAAAATTTAGCTTCTATTTCTTAAAACTTATTTTCAACCACACATTTCATGGATCCACAACTTTTGTCAATTTTTCAAGCACACATTTAATAAGTTTATCAAAATCTACTAAAAATCTGATTTTTATCCAAACCAAACAAGGGCTTAGTTATAAGTGAAAAAGTAAAAAGAAGTTATCCAAACAAGTCTGGGACAAAAAGTTACTCAAAATTAGTTTGCTACCATCATCATGTTTGGATACTTTGCTAATATAATGTTTTAAAAGTTAGCCAAACAAGCTCAAAATGATCTGAAATGATCTGAGAGACTTGGTAAGAAACTAGCATGCTTAACCTTGCTCTTCTAACTCTGGGATCAATGACTTTATCTTCTGAATTAATGATTCTTTTGATAGAATGCCTGGAATGTCATCCTTCATTCTATCACTATCTTTTTTAGCACCAGACTTTGAATCAGAAACTTGTGAAGCTGATGAATCCTTCCCCTTTTTCGGTTTTTTCTTCGATTTCGTTGCTCCAGATTCTTCAAAGTCTGGATCCGTATCAGCAGCCCCTGTCTTAATATTCCCTATAGATTTACCTTTTTTCTTCTTAGAACCTTTTTCTGAAACTGATTTGCTAGTACCACTTTGATTTCCAGATTTATTTAGTTCGGATAGGTTGCTACTATCATCATGTCCATGTTTAGAATCTTTGATGGGAAGTATATTAATAGGTAAACTAGTGTTATCAGAACCAGAAACATTTAAGGTTTCCATCTCTTTCTCAATGCAATCGAACAAATCCTGTCAGAAAATTGAAATAAATTCAAGAAAAATACAAAATTTGTAAGCACAAAATTTCCAAGGTGGAACCACGAGCACATAATTAGAGTTAGCAGTTACTGTTCAGTAAATTCTATAAACTAACAGTGCCCATCATGCAGAATATATTAACATAAAAAGTTTTGTTGATTCAAGAAATAATTCTCTTCATTCTGGGAATATTAATGATAAGATAAAAATGTATTTGTGTAGATTCTTTCAATGAATTTTTTTTTTAAAAAAGGTAATTTACATATTAACCGAGCATTTCTTCTTTTTAATAATTGCCATTTTTCTAATATTTTAGCATTATAACTTGTTTTGTTAAGACTAATATTTATTTTTGGAGTTACTTTTTTTTTTTTTTTTCTCTCTAGAACGCATAAAAAATGAAGTAAATCCAAAGCTTTTCAGCAATGCATTTCCTACCTGCCTGAACTCAACTCAACCCAAACCCACAAATAATTATCACAAACTTTGAGCTACTGTAGATATACAAACAAGCTTGTCGCTTGGAAAAAAGTTCACTAATAAGCATACGTGAAATTTGATCCATAAATTACTATAGCTAGCAGAATAATTGGATTAAAATTATTGATACTTAATAACAATAATGAGTGATATTATCTTTATAGATTCTGGGAAATCAAACTTCAACGACTCTGTTAGATGTAGTAATGATGAACAATGTAGAGATTTACCTTAACAAAACTATTGCTGAAAACATAGGATTCCCCCAACAGAAGCGCTTTGTCAGACTGAGAAATGAAAGAAGTTAATAAGAAAAGGTACAAACAAGTCTTCAACCACAGCCAAAATGTGGAGAGTGATAGGATAATGATTAATACCTTAACAGCACTCTGAACAGACGGACAAAGTGAGAGAATCTTAGCTGCATCTTGGGACACAAAAGATGTTGGTAAAACTGAAAGTGAATCTATCCTGCAGTTAAGGAAAAAGGTGTCAATATATAAAGACTTTATGTTACATGTTTTTGTAAGTGCACAAGTGCAAAGCACATGCACAAAAAAGGTGCCAATATATAAAGACTTTGTTACATGTTTTTGTAAGTGCGCAAGTGCAAAGCACGTGCACATGAGGAAAGGGGCAAAGGAAACTAATGAGTATCACAAACCCAAAATGAGTCTTGCTATATAAACTTAGGGTTGCCTACACCAATCCTTCTTGGCCACTCCATTAGATCCAATGCCACATCTACTGAAAGATTCGATAAAATCAAATATTTTGCAACCACATCATGTCATATTAGTGTCAGTCTACCTCTCCCTCGTCTAAGCTCTTCTATCAGGATCACATAGCTATAGATTAATCTATTTACTTTACAAACAATACTCAAGCTGCTTCATAAAACAAAGGAATTAATAGAGAAGTGATGTGAATCAGTGAAATTATGATATTGGTCCATATTTCACGAAAGCTAGTAGGTGATGTGAATCATGTGACATCATCTGAAGTAGATTATCTAGTCCATGAGTGCCCGTGTATTCATGTGTACAACAATGATTTAATAGACCTTTCCCTGATTTGAAGGGCTGACTACACCTTGCAATATTATGAACAACTGCCTTCATGGACCATTTTGCAACAGGTACATAGAAGTCGTAAGCTACAAAAATGACATGCTGAATTGAGAACTCACCAGCTACCACGTTCAATGGCATCTTCCACAGCAGCATCCAGCATTTCAGTCAGTGAAGGATGAACAAATAAAGTGACAAGAGGTATCCCTTCGGGGTATCTGGACTAAATTGATAATACATTGACACAAACTAATTAGATAAATACCAAAACAAAATTTTCAGCTGAATCAATTTCATTCATCATATATCTTATTATTATAATTTGTACAATAACTGGAATAAACCCAAACAGGAAGATACCTGTAAAAATTGAATAGGTTGCAGTATTCCAAGTTTCTGAAGAGCCCCATAACTGATGAAAGAATTCTGTGGCAAGAAATAGAAGAGTGTTAAATGACAGATATTCAAAAAAGGTTCAATTTTTAAACTTCATGGGCAATTATTAAGGAGAAACTGCATCATTTGGTCCATTGAACACTGGTTTGCAGATAAAAGTTACATATTTAGTTCATGTATTGAAACATAATTAAGGTTCTTGAATATGACAAAATTAAATGCCAGTAAAAGAAAAAAGAAGCAAAATACTGCAAAAACAAAATTGGACGATAATTCTTAATTTTCAATACAGATAAAAAGTTGCAATCTGTGGCTATAACAAGTGAGGATTCCACCTGTGAAAAGAATGAATCAACGCTCTCCTTTTGAGCCAAGGCAAAGACCTGTAGAATGGTAGACCATGAGCCCAAAACTATGCATGAAAAAAAGAAATATTAGATGTACAACACATAATCACAGTATAAAAATATTTTCTACCAGCTACCACTAATATCAATTCTTTTGATGTTAAAATCTTAGGGCCTGTTTGATACCACGAAATTTTCTAGGGAAGTTGGAATTCGTTTTCCATTTTCTCCTTTTAGGCTGTTTGGTATGCTAAATTTTCCATGAAATTCATTTTCCACCCTTACCTCATTTTCCACCCAATTCTTGGTTTCCTTAAAAACCATGGTGAGAATTGGTTTTCCAATCTACTTTGTGTGTGTGTGTGTGTGTGTGTGTCAATTGGAATGAATTATATTCCCAATTGGAACAAATTATATCTGACAATTTCCATGAAAAATAAAGCCAAACGAATGGTATTCGGTATGATAATTTTTTATTTTTTTTGGCAATTGAAACAAATTCTAGACCTAATGGTAAAAAAAAATTATCACTTAGATGGATAATTTCCATGAAAAACGAAGCCAAACGAACAACAAACTTTCAACATTTTCCATGTGGAAAATTATATCAATCAAACACAATTAATTACAATTCCCAGTAAAACAAATTATATGCAATTCAATTCCCTGTAATTCATTTTCTTTCCACCTAAATTCCACATTTGCAATCAAACGGACCCTTAATATACAGAACATGGAAATAACTTCAGTTGCAATAGTGTGAATTTTCTTTTAGAGCCAATGGATTATGATGCAATATAGATCAAAACATAAAATTACTAATTTCAAAACGTTAATGAGACATGAAGAGTTGTGTCACATACAGAAGGAGTCCAATGCACTCCAGCGCGAAGTGAGCCAAGAATCTTGCCTTCCTTCACCAGCCCATTAAACAGTGACTGGAAAAATGAACTCTCAACTGTTACACCACTAAATCCATCCATTTCTTGCAATAAAACCTGCAGTGAGCTCCATAATGCTGACAAATTCATCGGAACAGCAATTCCTCTCGCCGCACCACAAACCATTGCACTTACACGTGCAACATATGCCGGTGTATACAATTGCCCACCTTCAAGCCTACCTTTCACCTATATACACACCATTATAAAGCCACTAAAAACCAATACTTTATACCATAACTAACTACATAAAAGCTTGAGCTATTAAAGATGAAACAAGTAAATTTATTAAATTTTAGTCCTTAACAATTCACCTAGCGCAATAACATGTGAACCATCTCGTATAACAGATTAGGTAGTTAGAAAGGGAAAAACTTATTTATCTAAACAAGATGAAATTTTGATTAAAAATTCTAAATAAGAAAACAGTGTATTACCAAAGTTCCAAGACGTGGTTCTAATATGGAGAGGATTAACTCCGACCCAACTTGCAGCTGGGCCGCGATTTCTGCCAATGCTATTTGGCTGCACTCCTGGAGTCTTTCATTAATTTCTTCAGAAACAGCGTCCCAATAAAAATTTGAAATTATTTCTCCATTGATCAACATAAGTGAGGAATCAATCGAAACTACATGCTGTGCTTGCTTTTCAACGTGATACAAATCCACCCCTGTCGTGTCTGACAAATCGATCAACGAAATTCGACCTTTTTTATTTATCTCATCCACGATTTCACTTCTTAATTGTTCCTGTCATATACAAATCACACTTGCATTGAATAATTAAAAAATAACTCAGAAAAAAGGAATTATAAAAAACTTGAATTGATTGTATAATCACTTACGGGTGTGATGTATTCTTTGCCGGAGCTAGTATGGAGGAGATCGAAATCGATGATCTGGAGTTGTTGGAGTTTCTGAACCAATTCGACGACGTTTCTTTCTGATAACCGCACGGCTGACTTTGCTTGCTGTGCGAACTCGAACTGCCTCTGCAATTCCAGCAGTTCCTCATCCATGGCGGCCTTGCGATGGTTCAGGTGAGAATTCCGGTGGGATGATCGTCGCTTATTAATAAATGGGATAGAGGAGAAGTGAATTGAATGTTGGGCTAACAAAAAGATAAAATCTGCAAGCCTTTTTAGAAGAATTAGAACTCTCGTAACGAAACTGACACGAATAGCATGAAATTAACTTCTTCTTCTTCCTCTTTTATTTTTATTTTTATTAAACACTATATTTATTGGGAGAAAATGTTAATAAACCTTGTTCAAGTGTGAGTAAAGATAATTCTATTATAAATATTATAGGGAATTATTTTTTATTGTAATAGGGTTTCATTTTTTTTTAGATTTAAGATTTTTTATTCTTAGATTTTAATTATATTTTGCTCAGTATACTTTAAAATAGTCGAGTTTTGGGCATTTATTTGTCACACCCAGAACCTGTCCCGTCCTGCTTTAACCAGGTATGAGGATGGAATAAGATAACAAAAATACTCGATGAGATGAGAGTGGGAATGATCCACCCGTCCCATACCAGCTATGTTGTCATCCTTAAGAAAAAAAATTCAAAAAAACATAATCTTGGGGATAATAGTAACATTCAAAAAACATCCGCCAAAAAATATGATGCTGGAGCTAATTATTGCGTTTAAAAAGAACTACCAAAAGTGCGTGCAATCAATAAAAAAAATCTGGAAAACAATTTTGCCTGGATTCGTTAGAACTTCATGTCGAAATCCAATTACAATTTTTTGGACATAGTATTTCTCCTACGAATTGAACGACTACAAGTCGAAATTGACCTAGACCCATGGTTAGGTTAGATGCACCTAGTGAAGAGGGACCTAGCCCAGGTGGTCCGCAACCATGGGTATTTCGGACAGTGCCGAGATTTGAGAAGTTCGCAGGCTGTGTCGCGATTGGCAACGAATCTGGCATGAAATTAATTTTTTTTTTTTTTGTTGATGTTTATTGTAAATTGTTGGCATGGGTGTGGTCGTCTAGTGATAGGAAATTAATAGAAGGTGAGTTCCGATCATGGGGTGGCAGGAATGTAATTTCTGACGATTTTTAGATTTGAGGACAGTGAACTTTCAACATTAATTCCGATCACTACAATTGATAAAATTGGGAGTGGTTTGGTGGTAATTGAAGGGGGAATTGGAGGCTGTTGATCGGTGTCAACATCCGGCAGCTTGGGTGACCGAAGGCTGCAGGAATGTGGATGCATTTGGGCTGGAAAAAAAAGGCAAAAAATCGCAACTTTTTTGGACTGATTTACATTTTTAAAAAAATTTAGGAGCTGATTGCAATTTATTCTTTATTTTTCTTCTCTTTTCTTTTTTGTTTTATTTATATAGGAGGGTATAATGGTCATTTTATGTTAAAAGTTGGTAAAAAGGACGTTCAGCGCAAAGAATGTGAAAGGTAGGGATGTTCTGCGCCAAAAAAAGAAAGATATGGACGTTTTCCACAAAAACCTTCAAAGGTATGGACGTTTTGCACCAATTACCCTTTTGAAATTTTATCCAGAAAATGTCGTTTCTATCAATAGGTTTGGAGACAGTTTTCAATAAACAGACATTGGTTTCACATTTCAATATTCTGGAAATATAGTGCTAGTTTTCTCAATCGTGTGATTTTATTAGATATTTTATTATGGAAACCAAATTAAGGGTAAATATTATGGATTAGGTGTTAAAATGATTCATAAAAAGGAGTATATGTTGTTAGTGACTCAAATTGGAATTATGAGATTGAAAATAAAGACTTCCTATTGGTAAATTATTATTTCTGATGGTATGAAAAATGATTTAAGGCACCTTGGTGAATGGACATGGTCTCTTGGGACAAGTGCGAGATATCATACTTGGTATTTGATGTGTGGTGATTAGTTGGTAAATAATTAAAGAGAATAAAAGTTAATAGAAATAGAGATACAAGAATAAATATAGAACTTGGGGAATTACGTGGTGGATTTGCATTAGTTTACTTATCATGTTTTAATTTAAGTTATTATACCGTTATTTTAGGTATGACGTGAAAGTTTGAAAATGCTCGTCAATTTAATTAGATCGCTATCCATATATCTGTTAGTGGAAAAACTTAAATATTTTCAAGTATTGATAACTAATTATACTATTACATTACGTGGTATTATGTGAATTATTTCAGCTATTATTATATGTTTTATGTAATTATGTAAATTATTTGTCCAAATAAATCATTATTGTAAAAATATTCTTTCATTATGATATATGTGAAATTTCAAAGATTGTATATGAATTATTTGTAAATTAAAATTTGAGATGTACGTTTTATTGACCACTATTAAGACACCGAGGAATGCAATTGTGTTGGCCACAAAGTGAAACTTCTGGGTGATAACAAGGGTGAATAGGGAATGTGCCTTTGGTGATCACAAAAGGATTGACCATTTGGCTGTGTCGTTGTGATATGGTGGTTATTGATACTTCGGGTGGGATATTTCTTGAGTGATCATGGGGGCTGTCGAGGGATGTACCTCTAGTGGTCACAAGAGGATGCTCCACTCAACTGCGATATTGTGATATTTCTTGGGTGATCATGAAAGTAGTTAGAGGATATTCCTCTTATGGTCACATGAGGATGGTTGATTGTATCCAGTTGATTATTGATTACTGATGGTGCCTAGTAGGTGTGTCAAGGGCCCAATAAAATGAAAGTTTCAAATGAAAATATTTCGAGTTTACATTGATGATTTTATCATGACTGGGAGATGATATTTTCCAATAGTACAAGCATGATTCTCATCTTGATTATTATCATATGATGTTATATTGTGATTTGTTTAAGTTATGTAAACTCGATTTTTCATAAATATTTATTCATGAGAAAGTATAATTATTTTTGAACTTCTCCACTCACTGACCTATCAACTCATATATTTTCTCACGATTTTTCCTACAAGTAGCAATTTGTTCTTTATAGCTGGAGGAGCTTGATAATTTATAGCCACACGACATATTGAGTGATATGATTCATTTGATAAAGCACGAAGTAATTATGTTGGCACATTGCATTATTTTTGCATAAGCATCTTATTTGACGCATATTTAATAATAATTTATAGTCAGTTTAGGTGGTAGATCTAGCATATTTTCAACATTTATCATCGACGCATGTCACATTTTGGATCCACTAGGATGATTTGGGATGGGTCATGTCAGTATATATATTTGAATTTCGGGCTCTTAAATCAATAAAGAAACAAAGGATGGCCCTTGTATGAAGGTGTCGATGATGGTGGGTTTTTAAATATTTTATTTTATTTTTGTTTATTTTCCAAACAAGAATTAATGCAAAAAAATATATGGAAAACAAGTGGGTGGGGTTGGGTAGGGGTAGCATAACGACCAACGGTAACAACAGAACCAGGGAGGAAAGCAGCTGTAAAATGTAGACCAACACTTTGCACCAAGCATCACCGGGCTCAGTCTCCAAAATCAACAC